TTATATATGCTTGCCAATGCTTATTATTGTTTGTCTTTTGTGTGATGGCTGCCCCAGTGGGAGTGAAGTGCTAGCTAATTGTGATTGCAATTTAAATTTTATTAATAAATAGTGATGTTCGAAGCCTTTTCTTGTATTTGTTAGTCATTATTTGTTTGCTTTGGTAAAATGTCTATTCAAGTGTTTTTCCAAAATATTACATGTACTTTCTAATTGATATGTAACATTTTAAAAAAATGTATTCTGAAAGCAAAGCCTCTATTAAGCATATGATTTGCAAATATTTGATTTCAGTCTATGGCATGTCTCTAAATTCTCTTAAATCTGTTTCTGAAGAACAAAGTTTTAGTATTTGATAAAATTTAATTTATGAAGTGTTTCTCTTATGGATTATACTTTTGACATGTTATCTAAGAACTCTGACTAACAAGGTCATAAGAATTTTCTTATGGTATACGTTTCCTTCGGAAAGTTTTGTACTTTCAGCTTTTTAATTTAGGTCTATGATGCACTATGAGTTTTTTTTTTATGGAGAGTGTGAGGAAAGTGTCTAAATTCATCTTTTTTGCTGTGCCATATGTTGAAAATTGTCCCAGTGACATTTGTTGAAAAGATTATTGTTTTTATATCAAATTACCTAGTGCCTTTCTTAACAGCCAACTGCAAGTCTAAGGATTTATTTCTATACTTTCAGTTCTGTTGCATTGATCTATATACCTATCCTTATGCCAGTACCGCACTGTCTTCATCACTGTAACTTTTAAAATCAGGAAGTATTAATACTCCATGTTCTTATTTTTCTAGTAGATTTTGACTATTCTGGATCTTTTGCCTTTCCATATAAATGTTAGGATCAAGTTCTCAATTTGTTCATAAAAGACAGCTGGGGTATTGACTGGAATTGCATTAAATCTACAGACCAATTTGGGGAGAATTGCAATCTTAATGACATTGAATTTTTCAGTCTGTGAAAATGAAACCTCTCCATTTGTTCAATTCATATTTATTTAATTTCTTGGCACAGTGTTTTATAGTTCTTAAATGTAAAAATCATATTTACTTTGTTACACTTATTCCTAAGTATTGTATTACTTTTGATGCCATCATTAATGGAACTATTTCTTAATTTCTTTTTCTAATTGTTCATTATTAGTATCTAGAAATAAAATTGATTTTTTTCTATAGATCTTATGTCAGGTCATGTTGTTAATCTTGATTATTCATGCTAGTAGATTTAGAGAAGGATTTCTGGAATTTTCCATATATGAGATCATCTGTGAATAGAAGTGACATCAGTGAAAATGGCAGGGAAGGAATTCTAGAAAACTTCCTCTGTAAACACAATAAAAAAGTGACGAAAACTGTCAGAATCAACTTTTCAGAACTGTAGAATCTAACCAAAGCTTGCAGCAAATCACAAGTGCTTATTAAAGAAAAATGATGAATATTGGCAAGAACAGTGGTTTGTGGCTATTTGAAGTACTGCAGTTTCACCCATCACTCCCACACTCAATCATAGATTTAGAAATAACAATCTGCACTCAGAATATCAGTACTAGAGGGGCCAGAAGGTTCTTATTTGCAGGGAATTGCCCTTAGTTGACTGGTAAATTCTTTGAGCCCTGACTGGTAGCTCTCTGGAATATTTGTTTAGAAAGTTTCTTTATCTTGCCTAACTCTAAACTTACCTAGACCCAAAGTCACTACCAGGGAGGCACTTATTGAAACATTTATAGATACACATCTTATGTCTTGCTGTCCAAGGCACTAGATAATAGTAGAGGCAAATGATAGACTAACCAAAAGTCATGGGAGGAAAGGCTGAGATGTCTTAAGAAATAAAAGCTTTGAAAAGTATTAATATATTCCCGGGAATCTAGAAGGCCACATGCAAGTCCAAAGCTGTGTAAACGCTTGGGAAAGATATGAGAATAAGAATAAAAAAGAAATCTTGAAGATAGATACATTAAATTATTTAGTTTTAGGAACAGAATGAAGAAAAAGGAACAGAACTCAGAGGCCTGTATATATCAATAATAGGTGTCAAGTAAGGGTAGCAGAGAAAGAAAGGAGCTGAATGAGGATTTGAAGAAATAATGAAAAACATTAAGTCACAATCTACAAAGCTCAATGCCTTCCAAGTAGGATAAATTCAGAAAACTAGGAATTGAGATAGTTTTACTTCCTCCTGTCAAATTCGGATTCCTCTTGGCTTATTGCACTAGCTAGGAATTTCATTAAATGTTGACTAGAACCTATAAGAGTGAACATCTTTGCTTTATTTCCTAGTGTCAGGAAGAAAGCATTCAGTCTTTTACTGCTCAGTGTGATTTATTTTTAGGGTTTTCAACGATCATAGTCCTAGTTTGTTGAGTTTGTATAATAGATGGGTTTGTCAAATACTTCCTCTAAAATTATTGAGACGATCATGTGATTTTTATTCTTCATCTTGTTAATATAATGCATTACATTATTTGATCTTCACATGTTAAATCAACCATTGCATTCCTGGGATTTAAAAATTACTTAGTTATGATGTTTAATATTTTTATTAAGGATTTTTGCACCTATATTCATGAAGGATATTTGTCTGTATTGTTCTTTTCATGTTGTGATTATGCCTGACATTGGTATCAAACTGATATTGTCCTCATAAAATGAACTGAGAAGTGTTTTTTCCCCTACTCTCTGGAAGAATTTGTGGAGGATTGACTCAATTTCTTTATATGTTTGAACTCACCACCGAGGCCATCTTGACTTGGGCTTTTCTTTGTGGGGAGATTTTGAGATACTAATTCAATTTCTTTATTTTTTACACATCTAGTCATATTTTTTATAATTTCTTCTTGAGTCAGTGTAATTTGTATTTTTTCTAGGAGTAGGTCTATTTCATCTGAATTTTCTAGCACATAATTGGTCATAGTATTTTTAGTTTCTATAAGGCCAATAGTGGTGTCTCTATTTTCATTTTTTAATTTGTTAATTTACATCTCCTCTTTTTTGTGGTCAACATAGCTCAATTTTTGTTGTTTGTCTGAAGAAACTGATTTTCTGCATTGTTTCCCTGGTTTCTATTTCATTGAATGCCATTGTATCTTTGTTATTTTTCCTCCTTGCTCTGGGTGTAGCTTTCTTTTCTTTTTTCATTTATTAAAGTAGAAGCTTAGACTATTAATATGAAATCATTCTTCCCTTTAGGCAATTGAAATAAAAAAATTTCTAAACACCAATTTGTCTTTATACCAAGAAGTTTGATATGTTATGGTATTGTTTTCCTTCAGTTAAAAATAATTTCCCCTACAATCTCTTCTATGACCCTGCTGCTATGTTATGGATGTAATTTGCCTCCCAAAGATTCATGTGTTGAAAGCTTGGTTTCCAGTATGGCAATGGTGAGCAGTGGTAGGATCTTTATGAAGTGGAGTATAGTGGGAGGTTAGGTCATTGGGAACATTGCCCTCAGAAGGCACTAAGTTTCTTGTTATAAGAAGTTGATTAGTTGCTATAAAAAGAGCCCCTCCATTCTCTCTAGCTTCTTACTGGCAATATGATCTTTCTCTTTTGTACATGCTCCTAACATTGTGATGCCATCTGCTACGATGTGCTGCAACTGAGTCAGAGAGGAATGCAGGGGTGCTCACTGGAGCCAGCATTATACTGTTTGGCCTTTTAGTCAAACAATTCCCAAACAGTGTGCTAAATAAATCTCATTACTTTATCAAGTACCTTGCCTTAGGTATTTAGTTATGGTAATGGAAAATGGACTAATACAGGCTCATTGGTTATTTAGAAGCATGGTGTAATGTCCAAGCATTTATTGATTCCCCAAATTTCCTTTCATTGATTTGTAATTTAATTCTACTCTAGTTGGAGGACATACTTTGTGTGATTTTAGTTCTTTAAAGTTTATTGAGTATTATTTTTATGTCTTAGCATATGGTCTATCCTCAAGAATGTTCCATGTGCATTTGAAAAGAATGTGTATTCACTGTTCTTGATTGAGATGCTCTATAACATGTTTGAAAATGTCATTTAGTTTGTTTATACCTTTGCTGATTGTTTAGTTGTTTTATCCATTATAGAGAGCAGAGCATAGAAATCTTCGACAACTATTGTTTATTTCTTTCTTCAATTCTATCAGTTTCGGTTTCCTGTCCTTTATAACTTTATTGTTAAGCAGATGTATGCTTAATTCTTACATATTCCTGATTGATTAATTAATTGATACTTTATAAAATGTTCCTTTGTTTGAAGTAATATCCTTTGCCTATAAGTTTATTTTCTCTACTACTAACGATTTTCTCTACTATATTATTTGCATAGCTTTTACTTTTTACTTTCAACTTATTTGTGACTCTTACAGGCAGCATGTAGCTGGATCTTATTTTAAATTCAGTCTGACAGTGTCAATTTTTTTATTTCAATGTTTAATCCTCCCCCCGTTTTTTTGGTACTGGGATTGAACTTGGGACCTTGTGCTTGCGAGGCAGGCAGCAGCACCACTGAGCTAAATCCTCGGTCCTAATCCTTTTACCTTTTTAACTGAGATTTTTTTTGTTGAGAAAATTGAGGATTTATATACAGTCCTAAGAAATAACATAGAGTGGTCCCTGATGCACTTTGCTTACCGTGTCCCAGTGGTAATATTTTAAAAAATTATAGTATGATATTACAACCTGGATGTTGACATTGTTCAAATCTCCAGCTCTTATTCAAATTTCACCAGTTTCATTGCAATCATTCATGTGTGTGAATTTTAAATTCATTGCAATTTTATCACCTATATACATAGTCAAGGTACTGTACAGTTCTAAAACCACGGGTATCCCTCATGTTGCCTTTTTGTAACAAGCAGCACTTCTTTGCCATCCTTACTCTTGCCCCATCTTGAACTCATGACATCACTAATCTGATCCCTACTTCAAAAACCCTTTTATTTAAAAAATGTGATATAAATGGAATAATATATTATTTAATACTTTGGGATTGGCCTTTTTCACTTAAAAATGGAACACTTCATGAATGTACATGTCATCCTTGTACAGGGCCATGCTGATCTTCTCTGTGCCATTGTCATTTTAGTGTAAGTACTGATGAAGTGAGCACACTTTATTTTTAATGTAGGTTTTGATATATTTGTATTGTCTCCTATTTTTCTTTTTCTTTTCTACTTGTCTCATATCCTTTTGTTCTTCTTTTCTTCTTTACTCTTTTTTGTTCTAAAGTAGTTTTTTTCTTATTATACCATTTTAATTCTTTGGTTTTTGCTTTTAATTATATTTTTGAGATTATTTTCTTAGTGGTTCCTCTGGGAGAACTACATGATAATAATAGAAACAATCCATTGCAGACAATACTAATTTAATTCCAGTAAAATATTGAAACTTTGTCTTCTTATAAAGTACAGAAATCTAGTTTTATTCCCTTCCCCTTTTGTGATATTATTATTCATATATATATATATATATAAAGAGGAAAAGATAAAAACTATCTTTATATTGTCTCTTTTATTTAAATACATAATTGACTTTAGTTGTGCCCTGTAATTTTTTGTGTGGATTTGCATACTGTCTAGTGTTATTTCTTTCAGCCTGAAGAACTTCATTTAGTATTCTTTGTAAGAGAGGTCATGTGTATGTGGGAATGTTTTTATTTTGCCTTCATTTTTGAAATACAGCCTTGTTGGACACATAATTAATGGTAGGTTTACTTTTTCTTCACTACTTTGACTATGTCATCTTACTGTTTTCAGGGCCTCTATCTTTCCTGATGAGAAATTAACTGTTAATGCATTGCCTTTTCTCTTGCTACCTTCAAGGGTTTCTTTGTGTTTGCCTTTCAATACTTCGACTGTGATGTGTCTTAGTATGAATTTCTTTGGATTTGTCCCACTTTGAGTTTACTGAGCTTCTTGAACGTGTAGATTAATGTTTTAAATCAATTTTGGAACATTCTTAGTTATTCAAATATTATTTCCTCCCCATTTTCCTTCCTCTTCTCTTTGAACTCTGATGCATGCATATTGGTAGGTGAATAGTTTCTCACAGGTCTAGAAGGTTTAGCTAATATTTCTTCTTTATTTTTTTCTTTCTGTTCTTCAGCTTGGACAATTTCTGTTGACTTATCTGTTAAATTTTTTGATTATTTCTTTTGCTTCTCAACTCTGTTATTGAGATCCTCTGGTGAATATTTTTTAAAGTTTCAGTTTCTGTGCTTTTTAACTCCAGAGTTTAAAAATGATCCTTTAAAAATAATTTCTCATTCCAGTGCACCAGAGGAGACTGGCAGTAGCTTGTGACCCTCTAGTGGGCCTGCCCCTTCAGTCCAGTGCACCAGAGGAGCCCAGCCACGTGGGCGCCAACACAGCAGTTTGTTGTCATCCCTCCCCGCCCCGAACAAGAGAAAGAGGGCCTCTCTGAGGCTCCTAGATGTAAATTGAAGCCCACTGGAAAAGTAAAGAAAATCTGCAACAAAGGCACAACACACCACCATAGTTGGTATGTCAGAGGGACCAGCACCTCACATTGGAACCTGCTCTAACTTCAGGAGAAAAACATATTGTTGTCCATGAGCCCACTCACGAAACAAGGTTGGGGAGCTTGGACTGGGAGGGTAAGGCATGGAAACACCAAGCAGACTCTGAGGAGGTTTCTGGAATGCTTCCGCTTTATTCAGGAAACGCACAGGCTTAAACAGGGACAACCATGGGGGAAGAGCACGGGAGGAGCATTTAACATTTGGCGATATCTTATTGGCCAGACATGGCAAAGTGATTTTTCTTGGGCGAGGAGAAGGATTCACAGACTAGGGCCAGAGGTGTAGCCTGTTGGACCCAGCCTCTATGCACTTAGGTGAGTTAGCTCAGCCTAGGCAAGGTCTCCAAGTTAGCTCAGGAGACAGGACTGCTGCGCACCTGGCCCAGCCAGGCTTGAACTTCTCCCTCAGTTCTCCCTTTTGTCTTTGACTCCAGAGCCTCGGCCAAAAGCACCATATTTTTATGAGTTTGTTTATACCTTTTAAGGACTAGGTGTCTGATTTTTGAGATAAAGAGCAATAAAATAATTTCAATCAGGGTCAACGTATAGGGTGATGATAATATCAATCCTTTAGCCCAGGAATTCAGGTTTTCCACCCAGTTTGATGCCAGACCACTTTATCTCTCATATATTATTAAGAGTAACAACATCAAGAGCCTGTGTATCATTTAACAGAACAATAATATGAGTCAAGGTTTGTAAATGTTGACTGTATGTGGGATCCCAGGTTTTTCATATATAATTTGGCTGATTATCATTACGATGTTGACAACGATGAGGAGTAACATAAATATGGGTGAAATTTGCATGACAATGGCTTAGAATCTTAGTCTCTAATAATTGAATTTTTTTCCCAGACAGGATTTATCTGGGTTTGTAAATTAAAAATGGCAACACAGACATCTTGAAACAATAGGGAGGTTTCTCCGAAGGCCTGTGTGGTATTTTCTGTCAGTTGGTTGGCGGCAATGGCTGAGATTCCCAAATCACGTCTTCTGTGAGGATGAAGCACAAGGTTAAAGAGCGGATCTGAATTCTGCCAATCTTTTGTAAGATTTACAGGAAGCCAAATAGTGGGAGGCATTCCAGCTAAATATAGATACCAACCAGAGGAATGATTAAACAAAAGGGGGTTTATACAAGGGGTCAAGCAAAATTGGGGTGATATTGGTTGGCTTAAGGCCCACAAATCATTCCCAAAGGGTCTGGGCAGCTGAGCCTTCTATGGCTGTGGGATTTAGGAAAATGAACATGAAAGGGGAAGGCACACAAGTGCTGAAGGGAGGAGAGATAATAGGCCAATCTGTGGTAACAAAGATAGAGATAGGGGGTTAGGTACCAGAGCCCATATTTGTGGATTTGGGGAGGGAGGAGGACCAGCCCATGTTGAATTCGCAGTGAGGGCTGCACAGAGTAGGTACAGTGGGAACTGCGGCTGCAGCCCTGCCAGGAAGGGTCCAGGGTCTCCGGGCTGCACCAGCCCCAGGGGCCTTCAGAGGGAGGGCTCCCAGGGACGGTCATGCCAGGCCTCCCCAGACACCTGCCACACTTCCTCGGTCACAGCCACTTTGCGGCTTGGGGGCGCCAGGGTGATGAACACAGACAAAGTGACTCTCTCAAGGACATCACTCCAGGTCCTGGGATCTCAAAGACAGCTGGATCCTGCAGTAGAACCTTGCAGAGTTCAACTCAGCAGGAGATCAGAGATCTCAACTTGGGCCTTGCAGCCAAAATCAGCCTGAACCTCAGAGGACAGCTGCTGGCTTGTTGAGACTAATTAATTTAGACCTGAATGCTCCTGCCCATGTTATCTATTGTGTCAACAGAGGCATACCCTGAAGGGGGCCCTCTATTTCTATTTGTACTTTTTATTTTCAAAGATATACTTATCTCTTATCTTTAATCATTTAAAAATTTTTATCTTTTTCTTTTCTCAGAATTTTTTTCCTTTTTTATTTTCTCTCTCATTCTCTCTCTCTGTCTCTCTCTCTCTCCCTCCCTCCCTCTCTCCCTCTCTCTCCCACCTTGACCTCCCATTACTCTCCCTTTTTGTTCCTGTTCCTATCCTAATTCAAATTTATTTTCTTTCTTTTACTTTTCTTCTCTTTTTTCTTCTCTCAATTGCCATTAGTTTTAAAAGAAAGTGGTTACAGTCTCTAGCCTCCCTATTGCTGTTACTTTGTTCTGTTCTTGGGTGTATTTTATTCTATCTTCTCCTCTTCTCTTCAACAGCTCCCTAGAGTTTGTGTGATCTTCCTGAGTCCTCTGACCTCACTTCTAACTTTTCTCTATCCTATCTATCTATTCCCCCTACCCAACTCCTTCCAAATCCCATCCTAATGGGTAAGTTGCTATACTGAAGAGCTTATTCACTATATACATATTTTGGGCTGGTCCTCGATTTTTATTTCATTCACACAGTTAAAGTTGATAGATTAATAACTACCATAAATTGGCATTTTCTGAACTGTGCTTGATGCTATTGTGTTATTGATTGTATCACTTGGGCAAAGGTTTTGTGATTGATCTAATCAGGTGTCCTCCCTGGTATAATGAAAATGAGATTGCGTCAGAGACATTAGAGACTCAAAACCTTCCAGCTATATCTGGAAGACTGAAGTATTAACCCAGGAATTAAAGCAAGGACAGTACCAATGACAAAAATAGAAATGAGAAAAAATTTAAATAAGACACAAACACAGACTTCCACCTCACCAAAGGTAAACTCTGGGGTAAATGAGGTGGAAAAGTCTGATAGTCAACCATCTGGATACCCTGAACCGATAGCAGAGGAAGAAAAAAAAACCCAGACAAATAAGGCTCTAGAAAAATTCAAAACAGAAATAATTTCCCAGATAAACACAGAGATGGTAGAAGAATGAAAGACATTATTAGAGACTCTAGAATAGAAATGGACCAAAAAAAAATAGGTGGGCTCAGGACCATGATAGAAGCCATGAAGGCCCAGCATAGGAAAGAAATGGAAACCTTAAATGCCTGATATAGGAAAGAAATGGAATCCTTGAAACAAATTCAAACAGATGTCGAGGAGATTAAAAACTCTATTGATAGCATATTCAATAGAATGAAAGAAAGAATGAATGAATGTGAATATATAATTTTGGATATAGAAGATAGGATTGCAGTCAGTGACCGTAAAAAGAGAGATCTATTCAAAACAGTAAGGGACCATGAGAAATCAATCCAACAACTTTTAGATAATGCAAGGAAAAATAACATAAGACTGATAGGAATCCATGAAATAGCAGGAGAAAATACAAATGACATAAAAAACTGTTCACAGAAGTAATGACAAAAACTTCCCAAATAGAGGGGGAGAATTTGACATACAGATAAATGAGGCATGTAGGACTCCAACTAGCCATGATAAATGAAATCTACACCTAGACATATAGTAATCAAGATCCTGGAAACCCAACAGCATAACAAAATACCAAAGCAGTGAGAGAAAATAAATAAATCACATGCAAAGAAAAGCCCATCAGAACCACAGCAGACTTTTTAACACAAACCCTCAAGTCAAGGAGAGCCTGGAGTGTGGTAATTCAA